TATTAACAAGTACTCTTGTAAATTGTAATAGCGTGTTTATTGCTTTGTGCTAATTGATGCATATTTTGAACTCCAATAGTCTACCACCATCATATACATTTATTAGAGTGTTAAAATTATAATTTTAGTCCATTTTAAAGTCCATTCATTTGCAGAGGTTCACTACTTTATCGTATCCTATCCAATATCTTTATGAGAATATTTAGGTTTCCATAGTTTTCTTAGCATAGCAAAACAGTTACTAGATACACTAAAGTTTACCTGTAGTGCTGAACGCGCATGCACACATCCATTAAGAAATATTGAATAAAACAGTACAGTATTTAAATACATACATATTCTCCAAATACATTCTTTCAGTTTGGCAAATACAAGGAAGTTGATGTCATATTTACCTTAAAATTTGTGTATTTTCTTATAAGTACTCATGCTTAGTTAAACAACGTTTTAATTATTTAATTAGAAGATACACACTTGAATATCACTGATTATATATACACAAAACTGATAATAATATTTAATGTTTGCTCTAATTTAGTTGATTGTCATTACCTAAAAATTCCTTCTCAGTAGTTTAAACAAAAACCTTGTTCTATAAATAGTCTTTCTTTTTCGTCGTGTTTTTATTTTAACTTTCAAGTCGCCGTTAAGAAAAAAACGATAGCATTGTAAATAAAGTTAAAGTTTTAACGTTCAAATGCAATAAGTTTAGTATAAACATAAATGGTATCTTGGATCGCAGCCGCGTATTTTATTACACTTGTAGTATTTGGTCTACTGAAAAACAAATATAACCTTAACACTAACCTTGATATTGAGAGACAACAGTCAACAGAATAGACTACGAAAGTACGTAGAAGCAATTCCATAGACCATCCTGTCCTCATTGCGGGCCCTTTATAAAAAACACTAACTTATTCCATGGTTTAGACTGACCAACGGTGACGAAAGCATCGATATGGTGCAAATGAATTTAAATCCAATCTTATTTAAATTCTTAAACTCAGAATTCCTTATGTTAATATGGTGTAAAGAAAAAACTCAGACGGAGTCGTGAACAATCAGCAGTAAATATTGAAGATCCTGTTGATAACCATCTGCAATAGTGTCATATTTTTTCAAGCCATTATCTTTATTTATTAGGTGTTATACCATTGCTGCGTAACTGCGATAGTTATGTCCGACTCTACCATAATCTGATAACAGATGTGCTAAAATATTCCATAATTCTATTTATATAACCGTTCCGTGCAAATATTTTCAGTATCACGCTAGTCTTGGTATAATTTGAATGATAAATTCAAGTTGCTATGCTGAAACGTGGGTGTGTCTTGATTATCATTAACTCGGCGAGTGATTCGTCGAAGATTGTTTGTGTTGAAGAGTATGACGTCAGTACTCCTTCGAAAACATACATATTTGTTTGGCCCCTCTGCTCATGTTTTCGATTTGATATCTTAAATGTTTTCCATTTGCTTATCTTGTTTCCAATGCACTGACAATAATAATTATTGACAGATAATTCCATGTTTTCAATTATTTTTTGTAATCTAGGTGGGGCTTGCTCTGCTTGTAGTGTAGCCTTATTGATATATGTATATACTTAATTGTTACGGTTTGTAATAATAATCATAAGTCATAACGCAGGTTTTGATTAGGTATGTTTTACGGCATATTGGTAGTACTGAGAAATTGCAATTTTACTTATCTATTACCAAAATTTAAAAAACATTTAAATCACAAAGTGCTTTCTTGCGTTTTAAGATTTTTTATCGCATAATATGTAGCCTAATAACTAGTAGTTTTGTTACGTCGTAATTTTTATGTTTAAATTAACTGACCCGGCAAAAGTTTTGCCACGTATATTATTTCTAGGAAACATTTTTTTAATCTAATAAAAATAACTATCTACAATAACAAAAAATAGGAGTTGATCGTAGAGGGGTAAAAATTAGGGGTTGTATGTATTTTTGTATGCTGTATCATAAAAAAAACAAACAAAATTCACACCACTGGAGGTAGTCAAGGTCTGGAAGGAGGAGTATCGCCGCTTAATTTTGCGAGAATGGAGGGATGAGTTAGGTGAATGTCGGTTTGGTTTACAAACCGTTGATCTTCTTCGTCCCTTTTTGAAACACTGGGTGGACCGACCGTGGGGATCGCTTTCTTATCGGCTCGTTCAGGTTCTCTCTGGGCATGGTTGCTTTGGGAGCTACCTGCACTGAAACGTTGGAAGAGAGGCGACACCCGCTTGTCATCATTGTGACTTTACAGAAGATACGGTGAGACACACAGTTGAGGAGTGTCTGGGCTTGGGACGGCTTCCGCTTGGTCCTTGCTGATAGTATTGTTGGCAATCTGTCGCTTCCACTAATTATTCAAATAATGGTGGAAGCTGATAATAACGGTCCCTGGAATGCCTTTAAGACTCAGAAAGAGAATGCGGAGGAGCGTCAGCGTGAAATGAAACGACGACCGGTGCAGCGACGCCGTGCTTTCGCACGTCTGCCCTAAAATAAGAGTTGTGCGTTGCAGGAGTCGTGGAGTTATTGTGGCATTCGCGTTTGGCGGGTAAAGATTGGGCTCAGCTGTTACCTGCCTCCGCACATTGGCGAGCTGAAGGCATCCGTCAGGTTTTAGTGTGTAAGGTTGTAAATATTAAGTTTAGGTCCCACATAATCCCTGCTTGAGTAAAATACCGCAGAGATATACGTAGAAGCATTTCATGACGTAAAGAAAAAATATTTTGAATTACCTTCTGCCATCCAAGGTTAGTACAAATATTATAAAGAAAATATAAAAGTTCTAAAGAACTGTTGAGTGGAAGCAGCAGCATTCAGAACAGCATTAGAAACAGCTGAATCAGAGGTCGTCGAGGGAGAATGGAATGCCCATATTATCTTAACGTCTAGCGTTCCACACAAATATCTTATCTTAACGCAGTTTTTACGATAGTTTTTCCGCTTAGTTCAACCACTTAATGGAACAAGCTACCGTTTGAGAAATTTCCAAAGACAAGCTGGCACTTATTTAATGGCTACTTACACTTCCACCGCTGCAGGTGTTAATGGGTACTATAAATATAAAATAAAAAGCCTTTAATTTCCTACCAAAACTAGCAATTAAATTATCTATCTATATCAAAGAATTAGTTACATAGTGTTATAGTTATTTTAGTGAGAACCACCATATTATGTTCTCCAAGGAAAGCTATTTTTCCCTTACACTAATTACCTGGAGACAGTGTCGGCCTGCTTTTTTGGAAAGGTCGACCTTCCAAAAATCTTGCTATAAATACAACAATTTAATATATATAAAAATACTCTCTATGACATTTTTACGCACACAAGTAATTCCCAGTAGCTTCAAATGAGCAGAATCGTTAAGATTCACGGGTGCTATTTAGCACTAAGCATAATGAATAATTAGTTTTTTTTTATATTATTTTTTTCCTACCAGGCAGGCTCTCCTTCCAATTATATAAACATTAACATTTAATATAAATCAATAAATTCTAATGTTTCTTACTACATGAATAGTACTAATATTATGTGACATAAAAATAATATATTTAAAATTTTATACGATTTCATCCTAAACATTGAGCCACGCAAAACTAGCATTAAATTTAAATACACAGAAAAATGCAAACTATAAGACTACTAGCTGCCCCCGCGAACTTTCTCCTTGATTTTACTTCGCCTTTTTAGTACATGATACCAAAATGGAATATTTTGCTATGCTACCTCAGAGACTTCGGTTTTCTGGAATGAAAACTTTTTAGGTTTTTCTGTGAATTTTTCTCTATATAAACCTTAGATTTAAAGTCATAAGATTTTAGAAAAATAGGTGAAATAAAAGAATAGGTGTTGATCGTAGAGGGGTGAAAATTAAGGGTTGTATGTAGTTTTGTACGCTGTATCATAAAAAAATTAAAAAAACTTATGTTTCTAATCTAAAAAATAAAAATTTAGGGGGTGGACCACCCTTAACATTTAAGGATTTGAAAGATAGAAAGTAGCTGATTCTCAGACTTACTGAATATGCATAGAAAAAATCATAAGAATCAGTCGAGCCGTTTCGGAGGAGTATGTGAACGATCATTGTGACACGAGAATTTTATATACATACTAGCTGACCGGGTAAACGTCGTTTTGCCATGTATATCATTAATAATAAAAAAATAGGGGTTTATCGTAGAGGGGTGAAAGTTAGGGGTTGTATGTATTTATTAATGCTGTATCTTAAAAAAAAAATAAAAACAAAAAAAATTACAAATAAAAAAAATATTTAGGACTACCCTTAACATTTAGGGGGATGAAAAATAGATGTCCGATTCTCAGACATACCCAATATGCACACAAAATTTCATGAGAATCGGTCAAGCCGTTTCGGAGGAGTTTAACCACAAACACCACGACACGAGAATTTTATATATTAGATTTGAAGATACATAAGCAATTTTGTGACTATTCTAGCCTTATACGATTCCCTACCGTATGAAGATTATAGAGCGCTAATATGACATCCTATTTCTTACAAAACCTAAATCGATTTAATAAATTAATCAACAAGTTATCTCACACCAACCTAAAGAAAATAACTAATACAAATTTTATAGGAATTCAACAAGTTCATGACCCAAGAAATATATAATCAGAATATTCCTACAAATTACGTCAAATATCACATGGAAATTTGTATAGGATTGTAACTCGTGATAATTTTAACAAACCGTTGGATAATTTCGTACAGTTATTGTTTTCTTATCAAGTAATATTAAAAGCATCGCTACATCTGGGCGTTCTTTGACGTAATGTCGTATGACAGATATCGTTCATATATATATTGACGTCTTCGGTCCTCCCGCTGTATTTTGTATTCCACTTATCTAAGCTTACCTTGAAGCTTCTCTGATATATTCTCACAATTCGTTTTTATCGCTCTAATAACTATTCTGTCTAGTGCTGTTCACTTGTTTCATTAAATTTATGGACGAAATGTGTTGTTTAAAAAATAACGGCATGTGCTACCTGTGCAGGGATTTTCAGCTGTCATTATTTCAAAGTAAGATTATTGTTATATGTATTTTTATTCCAACGATTTATTATGTTCAATACCGATTAAAGGCAAATAATGTTATAATTAAATTAATTATTATGCAACGCACTTCTCAGAAAAATATAACAAAATTCCCTATTCATACTCCGAGGTTACGCGAATTTATTTGGCGATGATAAGGAGAGTTCTATAAAAAAATATTGTTCGCAGATCTGCTTAAGAACTTCGGCGCTGGTACAAAGATCGAACCCAGCGGTTACTTAACGGATGACGTGTCTAACACCTTGTATCCGCCATCACCATCCGAATCCAAGCCCACACAAGCGGAGTTGGCGAGCGATCTTTTGCAGCAGCTCGAAACACAATGTAAACAAGGTAAGATGAAGTTTTGTATAATAATTATTGAAGTGAAATGCGCATGAGAGTAAATTTTTTACGGAACGTCACGAAGATGTGCAGCGTTTTTTTCTTTAATAAAGATGTGCCAGTATAATATTGTGGTGCAATATTCTACTTGAACACCGATGGTGTTTTTAATACCTATCAATATCATTATTATTTGATTAAGAAAACTAAATTAACATTTTTTTTTGATTTTGTATTTTTATAAGGGCACAGAACCAAGACCTTTTTTGCTAAGACCCAGTTGGCTATTTTCGAAAATGTGGACATAAGTTAGCAATGATGATAATAATGAATTTGTTTATATTATTTGGTAATTGTTACCATATTAATGGTGGTATTTCTAAATACATAACAACAACTTATTTTAGTTCTGGTTTTTAATTAGCCTTAGTATCATTCATTAATATAGAAGGACTGGCAAAATTAAATTATGGGATTTGGGCAGCTTAATTACTCAATAATTAATTTACAATGAAGTTTCACTTCTGACATGGGTACTTTGTACTCTCGCACTTTTTTAAATAGTTTTACGTACTGTACGAAATAGGTCCGTTCCAATGTAATAAATAAGATGCAATAAAAATAAAGTATAAAATCTCACTATTACACAATATAAGCGTATAAACTTATAAAATTAAGACAAAAACGTATGCTAAATCGGGTTAATAATGAAATAGGGCATCGTTTGATCCATCTCTTACGCCTATACAATTGAATTATTTAACGATATTGTTCTATCTGTTTATGTGACCAAGCTCGGGGTTTTAGATATGAACAATATTTGTGAATTGAGATCAAAATCTCGAAAACGCAATGTTGCGTTATGTTATAAAAATGCTTGCGTTCTTTCCCTTTCGAAATAACGAAATCGAGTGTTAAACCAGAATTCATTAATATGTTAATTATATTTTATCGCCCGTTGAGAAGGAAAGCTTCTACTTTCCTCTACCTTTTATTCATAATAAGTAAATCAACTCTTTTACAATCTCTGATTTCGTTGGCACAAACAATTTAGCAGAGGGAGACGAAGCGTATTTTAGTTCTTTCAGCTTACTAACTGCGGTAATTTAGTAATGTTAATCTATGCAAAAAAAAATACTAGAAATCTTTACTTGATTGATGCATTACAATAAAGATTACTCAGACACACCCCTCAGTCACACACTATTTGCGCTGACGTCAATATTTATATCAATCAACTTTACCAATTCAATATCGTATAATAAAATGCTCGATAAACTTAAATATTATAAATGTTTACCTACAAGAGTCTTTTCCTCTATGTCAAATACGGATCCCATATGTCATTATATTTGATGTAAGGGAGTCAAAATAAAGAGAAGGCACCTAAAAATGCATTGCATTAAAAATTCTATGAGATAGTTTAATTTGAGTATGGACTTAAAACGCGCTTTGGACCATGGGGTCCGCGCGTTTTAGCGCCAATAGAATAGCGCCCTTTACCGATACATTATGCCTTACTAGTTTTTTAAACACGTTTTTTTACAATTTCTACCGTAAATATAAAAATTCACAAATTCAAAGTCACATTCATTACACCTAACATCACGTCCATTTAAAAGTAATCTTCATTTAACAAATAATCTACACATTTCACCATAAACAGCCCCCATCTTGTCAACACAAGAGTACGAGGTTGTTCAAATTTTGAGATTTCTTTAAACACCCCAACGCTGAATTCGGTTTATGAGTAAAAAAATATTTTAATACAGTTGACTCTTATTCACTTTTGAACTCTTGAAGTTTAAAGGGATTTATCGGTAGTAGTAAATAGCTAAAATATAACTGAAACTCAACAATTCCTAATGCTGTCAAATATTTTAGATAATCCGTAATAAATTGTACATATTTATAAAATTTATTCTAATAATCAGCATTATGCTGATATCGTCATTCTAAGTCAATTTCAATAATGAGGGGAAGAATTTTTTTGTATAAAGCTTTATTTCTTTTTCAAAGTTGGACTCGATATTCATTCGATTACGAATTCATTCTATTAAAAAACGTTGCGTGTAAAGAAATCATACAAGGGAAACAAAACATTGTAATGCTTACTATTAAAGATTAATAATTCGATTTATAAACTCTTTGTTCAGTCTCAATAAAAAATATTTTTAAGAAGAAAGAGTCGTTTAAAAACTAAATGGATGAAAAGATCAACTTGCTTATCAACCAGTAAGATTGTATAGTATTAGTATTATATATTTTCATGTTCATCTTAATTGACACTGCATAGATGTCGTCGCATTAAATTATTTGACGATTGAGAAGTTAACTTGGCTCTTGTGGTCTTTATGGGATGGTTTAACGAATGTGTTCGCGTACAATAGTCGACGGACAAAACACAAATAATTTTAAAATGTTAATGACACTAAAACAAACGTTTTATTATACATCATCATCATGTATGTTTAGGTCTTTCTAATTCAATAAACATTTAATTATTAACTTTCAATCAATGTTTGTTCATATAGGTAGATGAGTTATGTGAATCGTCATCATGGAATAACTTTTATTAGAAATTTTTTGTTAGTTAGTTTTGTTCGGGTTTCTACGATCTACTAGTACTACGATCGGGCAACGATATAGACATCGGTCTGCGTCAATTGTGAAAACCACAAAATCAAATACATATAAGTAATAAAAGAATGTGCCTTATTGTACTTTTATTTTTAAGTTTATTGCATGTACGGCTATATTTTATTATGATAATTTTAAGAACGACTACAATGTTATGTTAATCTAGAGTATTATTCTCATGTAAGTGACATTTTTTGTCTTTTGGAGAAATAAAGTCTTTAAACCTAAAAGAATGTGCCTCTGAAGTGGGTATATTAGAATAAAGATTTGAATACAAAATTAAAATAGCTACAGAATTCAAACAAAAGTACCTATGTTCATTTTTGTTTGTTCATTGTCGAGCAGGTTCCAATGAATTTTATGCAGGTTTTTGTTGACTTAATGTCAACATATATAAAACAATAAAACCAAAACAGGTCTGTCTGAAACAGTCTAAGCAACTGCGTGTACCTTTACGTACTTAGTTCGATTCCCAGCGAATTAAATTCGAAATGGAGTTTGTAAAGAAAAATAATTAATTAAATGGAAGTATGTGAAATTACAATGTATGTTGTGCAATTATTACTTCTCTCTATACTAAAGCTGAAGTATAACGTACGATTTGGCTCTGGCTTACGCTTAAGTCATTAAATTCTAAGCTAAGTCTAAGTACGAATGATCCTAAGGCCAATTAATAATAACAGACGAAGCCGTGAGCATAGCTCTCTATAACGACTTGCAAATTATAACCGCAGAGAGGTTCATAAAACAAAGTTCCATTTTTAACTATGTATTATCTTACTGATAATTCAACAGGTCTAGTTATAACCAGATTCGACTAAGTTAGGTGAAATGACACACCCCTGATCACTTGACAGAGGCGTGTCTAGAAGTCAAAGTATTCGACCAATTATCTGTTTTGATAATATTTTTATCACTACATTAATTAAAATTTTCCGACAGACGTGATGATATTTTTTTATTTATTTAAAAAATGATACAATTATATGGTACCTTATCATACAGTCGGTAGTCCCCACACTAGGGACATTCCTGCGTTGTGGGTGAGCTACGTACTCTTCCGAAAATATATACAGTCAAAACCGTTTACGACGACATCGTTTAGAACAACATACCGGTTATATTGAACAAAATTCAAAGGTCCCGGCTGAATTCTATTGTATTAGGGACTGAATAACAGCGTCATAGGCTGTTACGACTATTGGTTTTTATGACCAAATATGAGTAGTCCCTTCGATGTCGATATAACAGATTTTGACTGTAAATATAAAATTATGTATTAACACACCCGTTTAAAATTTATTCGCATATTTTCTTAATAATTTATACATTTCCAAAGAGAATGCGTCGCAACTCAAAAACTAGCAATTTCGTTTATTCCTTGTATTTGCATTTAATGTATGTGATAATGTGACTTACTGAGTATTGTAACTTTTAAAAACTGTTAATAACGCCATCTATTGACATTATTAAAAACTACGGAAGTTATAGAAATTGGAAATTGATAAAATTGCCTTTATAATATTTTATTGACGGTATATCCTAACAGAGGTCATAACGTTCACCTCTTGTATATTTTAATATGGTCGAGGACATGGCCAATATTTGTCGCATTTAATTGTTTATCTTTAGTAGGAATACACGACTTTTAGGGTGAGGTTCCGATACGAGATTTAGCGCGAAGTCTTGTTTCTGAATTTTAGCTTTAATATATTTTTCTTAAAACCTGTGTTATTAAAGATAGAGAAGACCTGTAACACGTGACTGTAACTTAATAATTCCCTAAAAGGATTCGAAAACAAACCCCTAAACATAACATAATCTTGCTGTTTTCCGTTTAATAGCCTAAACGGTCAAATCAGTTTTGTGTTATCTTGACAAAGTTCTAAAGTAACTAAATTATTCATGGTTTTTTATCTAATTTTATTTAAATGATCTCGAAATATAAACTAAATAATTACGAAAGTAGGATTTCTGAATATAGTCAAGTGAAGGTCTGTTAAAGTAGAAAGTTGATTTCAAATATAAAGTTATTCCCGCCAAGTTATATATCTACTTTTCCTATCCATTTAGTAAGCATTTAACCTCTTATCAATTATTACATTTCTTTAGCGAAATGCATGTTATTTTACACTATCTTTTGGATTTAACATTTCTGTTGATGACTACGTTTCAATGCCATAGAAGATAATCCTCGGCTTGTCGGAATATAGACGGAATTTGTGCAACGTGTGAGACAGTTTTGAAATGATTTGGAATTCGAAATCAATAAAACGTTGCAATGGCTGTTAAGTTAGATGCAGTTGTTGGTTTAAATTGAATATTGATAATTGAACTGGCCCAAGTGTGGTGTGGAGGGGAAAGGCGTACAGCGAAGTTGACATTGCACGCTCGCCCGCACTCAGTTGTAGCGTGTATCGCGCCGCGTTTACTAGTTATTTGTCCGTGACAATAAATTCGATTCGAGAAGTAAATTTTGGGCGCTCGCGCTCGGCTCGCGACCTATGCCTGCCACCGCCCATGAGCCGCCTGGACGCCGTTAGAATGAAGTACCACTATCGCTGCATATGGAATAAGGAGATAGTGTTCAATTCACAGAAGCTTGTTAAAAGACGTTAGGTGATTGTGACCGATATATACCGTTCACGACGACACCCGCTCGCAACACGAGGAACTCAGATTTTGCAAAGCACTGCCCATATAAACTTAGAATTATCAATAATATTCTAGCACTAAGACTTTGTAAAGGACTATTAATCGGCTGCGTGATGGCACTTGCAGATCTGTATGCCGGTACGTGTTTAGATCTCCGAACTATGTCAATGTTGTTTGATTTTGTATTTTCATTGAAACGAAGAAATCAAACCAAGGTCTTTACGCTCTCATTTCTCTGGAGTCAATGACAACATTATAACATTAACTTTTTTGCGTAAACATACTTCCACAAAGACGACTTTTTCCATATCTATTATCCTTATTGCATCCTAAACTAAGCAGGTTGCACGCAACGCATAATTTTGTTTTTAACTTAGTTTGCTTAACTTTCATAATGTATGACCTCGATCTAACAATGAAATATTTCTCGGAAACAAAGGTATAAACATGTAATCTCAAATATCAAAGCAAAGCGCGCGATTTACTCAGCGATGATTAAAATGTTGTTTACTTTATATCAAATCAAAACTTAGGAATGTTTTAATAGGGCGCGCTAGTGTGAAGGTTTATCGCTAAACAAATAAACCTTATAAGCTACCGATCAATTATTCTGTAAACATGTTATCTTACTCTTATTTATAACCTCGTTTGTTATTGCTTATTGACTATTTTGTTTTGAATATGTTTATTGGAAATTTTATTGCTACATACAATATATATAAGGGAGAGGTTGATGTTTATTAAGAATCCATAATTTAACTAATTGTTTGCTTATTAAACGAGTTAGTAACGGGTATATTCTAAGTACCAATCGGGATTGCATAGGACTGGTGTAGACTACTTTAGAAAGCGCGAAATCTACGGCCCGTATTTGTTACGCGTGGTTGGATGTAGGATCAGATAATGATATCGATTTATTTTGCGGTTTTCGTAGTTGAATAAAAGTATTGTGTTGATCAACAAAGTGCAGGACCGATGCCAAAATATAGATTATGTTAACTTAGAATTGTATGCTTGTTTCGTATGTCGCCACCAATGATAAACCAGTTCGAAGGCGACCTCGATCGCCGCTCGCCCAATAATTAAAACAACTTATTGCCCACTTGTTTCCACTCTTGCGCATTGATACAGATCAGTTGCCTTGTTTGTTTGTATTAATTTATTAAGTAATATATTTCTTTAGTTTTGCCTCAAAAAATTAAATGTTAATTTCTAGACGCACAGCAATAAATATTAAACAAAACTTATCCAATTAAATACAAATGCTGTAGATAAGGATAATAGATCTAAACAATTATATTTATACAAATAATAGTTACATACCTTTTTGCTTAACCTGCTGCCCTGTTTTTGTAAACTCTGGACAGACTCTACAAACTCTTACAAGTAATATTTTGACAATTTAATTTTTTCCCGATGACCTAATTCTTTATACCTTATAGAAATTGATAGTGTAAATTATAACTCTTATTTTTCTTTATAAGGTTAATAATACATCGATAAGTTTATCACAGGTCAGACATAGTCCATGACAACCTGTTACTAAGAGATTTTCAACCTTTAAATAACATTAGGTAAACGACGATCATTATAAAGAAACAAAAACTCTTGTTCCATGCGTTTCATTTAAATATTTTATCAATTAAATCAATAAGGCGAAAGGACTATCTCTGTACGAAAATTAATTAAATTTGGAAGTTAAGTAGTGATAAGGTCGGATTTTGGATTATTAAATATTTCTCAAAACACTTCAGCAAGCTTGGATTGTATATTTTTGTTTTGTTCGCGGTAATTCATTAGATTTATAAACGTACGAATAAAGTTATTTGGATTGGAAGACATAAGCGTGAATGTATCATGAAAGACGAAAATATTGTACGCTATGTTGGATAAGTGTCTCTAGTCAACGCATTGACACGCATGCTGCGTAATTACGTCCATTTGACCAATCACAATCGAACGCAGTCTTTTGTTTAACATTCTCACCCCGGGTACTGAATACCTACTCTGATAATACTGGAAACTAACTTGTGTTATCTATGGGACACCAGAATATGAGTATCGAAGGGCGTTATTGGTACCGCAATCCCACATGATTTAACTATCATAGATTTGTCATCTTAACGGGAAAACAAAACGCTGATACTAGTACAACATTTTACCCTCTGTTTGGTAAAGTAGGAAGATGTTACAAAAGTTCGATTTCGGCGTTTCCTATATCACCATAAATGTTTTAAATCAAGTCATAGAATCATAGATGTTTTGTGTTCTATTTATATTATATTAACAAAGTACCAATGACGTCTTATATATTTAAACAAGGGCAAACAAAATTTTAATTGCGTTCCGTTGAACTCTATCGGGGCCAGTAAAATAGTGTTATCATGTTGACTGCCAATGAGCGTGTGCGACGTAGTGACAATTAGGATCAATTGATTCTGGGTGCTTTAAGAAGATCACTTAAAATCGATTGAACGTCGTCGACGGGAATGATGGCGGGAGGATGAATTCACTATAAATTACTAAATATATCAGTATTATAGTTTTATATCTTCCTAAGCTCGGTTCCGATTAAAGGAATGATCAAAAGGCAGTAACTTTTTACGTTAATCAAAAAACATGTAATTTAAAACAAAACAAACATTAGTAATAATAATAGGTATATTATGCCGTTTTTACTAATACATGTAGTCTAGTAATAATAGTACAGCTTTGTAATTACCTACAACATTTTTTTTAATAAGTCGAAAAACCTTTGTAAGACAGAGCCAATATCAGCAATAATCAATAAAATACACGATCCGACATTTGGTTTCGTATTTAAAGGTGGAAAAATAATCATAGAGTCTTGTTACAAGACACTATACAGATAGATACCTATGTGTTTGTATCGATTTTTGCGATTGTAATATTTTTTGCTTGCTAGCGTAGCATGGTTCTAATTACTATACCGCTTGGCGCCTATAATTGCACTATAACGAAACCACATGTCGTATAGAAAATAAATTCAAATATAAAGCTTTTAAAATATACACATACATTCTTTAAAAGATATTCCTATTGTCAATGCATGTTAGCAATGGTATATCATGTCATTAAAAACTATTAGTATGAAGATTAAATCACATTTAAAACTAACAGGAAACTCCTGTTAAAATTTAATTAGATATTAAATTTTTGCTATAGATATTAATTTAGTTACGTTAATTGAGGTAGTTTTATACATTTAATAGAGTGGATGTAATAAATTCAATGAATGTCGATTACACATTGTATGTACGTACGGTTTTGGTGCCAAAAGATCGTCAGCAACTTTCATAAAAATAACGATTGAATAAAAAATTAATGCATATATATATATTTATATTATTATTTTCCTCTTTACAGAAAACATATTTTCCAACTGGTTGGAAGAGAAGGTGGACCTCCCCATCTTCGAGAACATCTCCCAAGTACCGGACCGCGTTGACGTGCCTGAAGTTGCAGCGGTGCCTCCGTACTCTGCTATTCCGATCGCGCCGCAGCCCACAGAAGACCTATTGCGCGAGTTCGAAACCGTCTACGGCGCTGTAGAGCTTACGCATCTCACTCCCCCGCAAAGCCCCCCCGGACCAGCTACCCAGCTTCTCCTTAGCTACGCCCAACAGGCTCAGAGCGCAGCCCCCCCTACCGCAGCAAGATCAATGGCCGGTCTCCATCCCGCCGACAGTGCCGGATTTTGAATACCAAGCTCTAGAAGAACTAGTTCGCCACCGCGCTGCGCAACTCACGTCCCCCATTCCATCCGGCGATAGCGCCACTCCTGCTTCATCTCCTCCCTCCTCCCCCCGTTCCTGCTCCACTGACGACGAGTGGAGCTCCTGCCGCCCGAAGCCCTATACCCGCAACGTCGACGATCGCCGCTCGCGGAAAAAGGAGCAAAACAAGAACGCGGCAACCCGCTATCGCCAAAAGAAGAAGGCAGAGATCGAGGTCCTTCTCAACGAGGAGCAAAATCTCCGTCAGCGCCACGTAGAACTCGGCGACAAGTGTTCGGACCTTCAGCGTGAGATCAAATACCTTAAGGGCCTCATGCGCGACCTTTTCAAAGCGAAAGGACTAATAAAATAAATAAATGTTTGGTTCGCCCACACATGCGAAAGATTTATCCCTACTGCGCCGACGCGCCTGAAATTACAGACCTAAAAGAAGTTTAAGAAAGCTTTTGACGTTATGTTTAGGTTTATGTTGTTATAAGCTAGATATATTCCATCTTTGTTTTAACCTTCGAGCAGCATTCATCATTCATGTCGAGAAATAACATCTTCTCATATAATCGCAAGTGGCGCCATTACACCATTAATCTTTAAGAGGATAGGTTGCATTCGTTGTCATGAAAGCATGAATTATATTATTATATTAATGAATTTTATCGTTTTACCTGTTTTAATCTATTCCATCTTATTTTATACTATATTATATTTTATTTCAAAATTTGTTCTTGTTTTCATGCAATAAATGGAATGCGACGGCGGAATTTTTCTTTTATTTATATTCTATAACCAATATAGTAAATATGCATAGCATAAACTAGGTGCAATATATGTATGCATTTAAACTCGTGTAAGGTGGAACCAAAACCGGCATAATTTATTGATTTATCATAACAAGAATGTAAATATGGAGACCTTGAATTCTTGCAACAATAAAATAACTATTTCTTACAAATAAATAATCTGCTGCTCTGATCAACACGTTTAAAATGACTGGCCAACCCGGCAAAATGGCTAACTAGCCAACCAGAGTTTAAAGTCTATTCAACATTGATCAACACTATTAACTTTCGTGTGTTGTAAATAAACAACAATATTCTAGTTTCGATTTTTAAATCCTGTTACACATTTTTCTTTCCTTCATTCCTGTACAGACATCTTTCAGTAAGATCTTCTAGTAATGCCCATAATAGTTATTTAAGTGAACAACTATAATTGGTATAATTAGATTTAGATTAAAACCTTAACAATCTCTTAATAGTTTTAATACGACCTTATTTCTGATACAGTCCTAATCAATGCTGGGTTTTTCCATGAACATACTGATACACTTTGATGATAAGAGCATTAAATCAAAAACTTTCCAAGAAAATTGTGCATTATGTTGACGCTTAGTGACATTGTTTAATAACCTCTGCTCTTTTTAATTAGTGTCAATTTAAGTGCTCTAACATTAAACACGAGTATTTTTTTTGTCATACGAAATATTTTAATTCTAATTATTTATTCTTCTCCTATTAATGCAGTTGGTTATATAATGATTATAGTTCTTATTAAGTGGGGTTTAGAGTATTAATTGTAGACCATATTTTCCTGCATATTAGAAATAATGATTTATTACGCGTAGTAGAGCGAACACGATTACAATAAAATAATAATAAACACAAGTTATGTTCCTACGTAATGTTTTCGTGTCATGGTATAATCCACATAGCTAATATGAGGAAAACTTGATAAAATTACTTGATTCCATATGGCACATAGTTTTTTTCTGTTGACATTTAAATACCGATATCTTTATTCCGCCTCCACGACTTTGTGTTATTGTTGTTGTTACAAATGGCATATATCGTAGAATCATTTGATAGGGTTTTTTTTATTAACACTCGCTCGAAAGGTGAAGGAAAACATCGTGAGGAAACTGGCATGTATTAGACCTAAAAAAGACAGTAATATGAGACTCAACACTTCGAATTACTATTCAAGTACATAATTACTTGATTGCCCCGCCATTGCAAATTACGAAATTTAACTTCACTAATTTGTAAGGTTAAATTTTATACACCAATTCTTTTATCTCCGACACCAGTTTCGTATCTAGCGCTTGTATCGCGGATGTATTTAGGTATTGTATAAAGGTATGAATATAAAAAGTCACATTTGCTTCAAAATCTTAAGGTGTTAAGCGGTCCTAAAGCATGATCCGAGGAATTTTACGAAAGCTCGAATTATCATATCCTAGAAGTAGTTGCTCGTTAATATTGTTTCTTTTTAGTTTTAGTCTTTCAAATTACCAATAACTAGATAGTTTCAGGCTGAAAATTTTGGAGACATAGGCACAACGTAAACGAAACGGCATCATGTGTAGTGCCTACAATATAGTGACAGTATACCCAACTTGTTACTTGTACAGACATAAAATCTACACGTTCATCTCAGTCATTGAGACAAAATTGCGTCAAAAAATGCTTTCAGGTATTCTATGTTGACATTTCAGTAATCTGCCACCCAAACTGGAGGGTAGATTACACCTTATGATTATAAGATACCTTAGGGCTTAGGTTTGTGTGGACGCGGAATAAAAGTGCACAGCAGACATAGAAGGGAGAGGTGTAAAAATTTTGATTAGCCGTTTACTTAATTTATAAATGGTAATAAAATAAAAAAGCGTGTTACATAATATGATTGATTATTTTGTTTAATAACTCTTGATAAATATTATTATTATTATGGTGTATACTTTTCTATTAGATATTTTATACTTAAGATTTGTATATATTTGTATTTTATAATTTAGCAAGATTTAAGCTGGTTATTGATGGTTCAAAAGATTTATGGATGGTTTTATTAATGTTAGATACATTTTTTTAAATATTTAAAAACTTTTTTGAGAATGATGATTTTAAAACCGTGGAATAAAAAAATATACAAAATCGTACAATATTTTTATATTTGTAGATTAGCTTTGCAAAATAATTTAGTAGAATTATTAAAACAATGTCATGGATTCTATAAGTACGGTAGCTGTAGTTACGTAAGTATTCAAAAGTAATATATTTTTGTAGATTGTTTTATTTTAAAGTTTTTAATTTTTTTTGTATCCACACTCGTATATTTAATAGTATATATTAACTTTCAACAGTCGAATGCAATTTTTAAAACTCTCCATAAGCTTGGTATTAGTCAAATATTTGTGTACCGGGCCATTAATAGGTACAATGGGAACTCCTCTGTTTGTGACAGAAAAAGATCTGGACGTCAACGTAGTGTTCGTACGAAAAAGGGTGGTCAAAGCAGTAAGCAGTGGTAAAATCGAAATAACTACTGAAGCGGTACGCAAAGGGAGGTCAAAGAAAAATTTTGTTTACAGATAAGTTTTTTTACAATTGAGCAGTATTATAACAAATAAAATGACTCTATTTATGCTAAAAGCTCTAAGGAAGATTCCCAATTAGTCGACAGAGTGCATCGTGGGCATTATCCGACTTCAGTGATGGTTTTGTGGGGTATTAGCTATGAAGGAGTGACTGAGCCATACTTTTGTGAAAAAGGTATCAAAACATCGGCACTAGTGTATCAAGATACCATTCTTGAGAAGGTAGTGAAGCCCCTTAGCAACAATATGTTCAACAACCAAGAATGGTCCTTCGAGCAAGACTCAGCACCGGGTCATAAAGCTCGGTCTACGCAGTCTTGGTTGGAAACGAACGTTTCGGACTTCATCAGAGCTTAAGACTGGCCGTCGTCTAGTCCTGATCTTAATCCGCTTGATTATGATTTATAGTCGGTTTTAGAGAGTACGGCTTGCTCTAAACGCCATGATTATTTGTAGTCCCTAAAACAATCCGTACGATTGGCAGTAAAGAATTTTCCTATATGGAAAGAGTGCGTGCTTCTATTGATAACTGGCCTCAACGTTTAAAGGACTGTATTGCAGCCAATGCAGACCACTTCGCATAAGCTTTTTATATTTTAAATTGTTTAATATTTATGTATTAAACTAACACTGTAAAAGTAATAAATATTATTTGCAATATAAATTATATTTTTTTCTTTGTTTCAGTATTTATGGCAAGACTAGGTATATAATGAATGCAAATTGCATAAGACCTAATATCATACTAGTTCATTAAGAATTAAATTATATTAAAAATGTTAAAGCAATAATAGATTCACAATTATTTCTTTTTAACTACTAAACTACTAGGCTTTGGCATAAGTGCTGTTTTGTTTGCGATGATACATCGATGCCCTGTTCTTGAAGCAGACGTGCTCTCTATTCAATTGGATGGATTAGACTTTGCAAGGTAAGAAACAATGATGTAAACGTTTTAACTATATACGACGTAATACTTCAATATAAAAATAACGTATAACGGTTATGTTAATTAAAATACTAAAGTTTAAGTTCTTATTTTTAAATTGTTCAGTGGCCACGTTGCTGCAAATAGCTTGCCACCTAATAAGTTGTATATAGTAAATATATATCAATTGCGAGAAGATAATGAGAAATACTAATTTAAAATTAATGAACTATATCTGTAAATAGCTTTCTATATATAGATAGGAAGATAAACTTTGATTAATGGGCAAGAGGCATGTCGATTCCTCACAATTCCGTAACAGTGAGTGTTACAATAAATATAAAGAAAAATCAATTGTTGAACTACATTTTTTTCTAGGGGAAATGCAATCCTCATCCCAGGGTTTTATGGGACTCGCTTTTGTCCACCAGGTGACCAACAATCCCCTAGGCGGAATACGGTAACAGCCTTATCTGCTTCCCGACACGCGATACGACCGTTGTCTCCGCGTTTTGATATTTACCACAAGTATCCATGCACTAGATGTAATAAGCCGTGATTTAAAGGCTCGACTGCAGATTGAGAACCGCACAAGTAGGGCAACAAAATTAATCTGATTATTACATAAGAAGTTTTAATAGGTATTGTTAAATTAATAAACATGGCATTGCCGACATGACACATTTGCATTATAATTTTTTTCCTACAATAAAGTTCACAAAAGGGAGTGCGACTTTACATGAATTACAATCTAGCCTATACAATTATTATGGCTTATAAGTAATATTATATTGACTTAATTTTCTACAATACTAGTGAAGTAAAGTACATTATAATAAACCCATTAAAATTTTCCCAGAGAAAGTAATTAAAATGAAAGCGAACGTGAAAGTCGGTTTTGTCTCAAAACTAATATTCACCGCTCTCAATATAACAGAGTATACCTGAATTAATTTATGTCTGAATTTGGGAACCGGGGATTTGGCTCGAGTCAAAGTTGTGTGTTTGTACATCTAAGTTCTAACTGCTAATTCTAATGATTTAATCTATGATCGAGTTTGGGATAGATCCGAATTCACAATATTGTAAAATAAAAAATAAAAAATATGTTTATTATGGAACATAAGATACAGGTATCACTAATTCTACGTCATTAAATTTGAAACTGTAGGCATCCTTACTCATCGGCAAAAAAACAGAGGGTGTAGGCCGAAAGAAAAATCCGGCGTATAAAACTCTCGGGTACTCTTTTAAAATAGCAAAATCATCAAACAACACTTATTTTAAAACAAATATAGTAAATTAATTAGAAGTAGCCTGACTAGCACTAATCCCAGGCCCGTTTATCAACTAGATAATTGTTAACTTTATAGTAAGCCCTTTTTACACAGCTTTTCTTTAATTCATTTCTTAAATTTATTAAAAGGCAGAGATAAAAGAGCCATTGGGATTTTATTAAAGAAGAGTATCCCTTTTCCCACAAAAAAGAATGACTAACTTTAGATAGCTAGACTACGGGGAAATTGCAGCCTGCGTTTGTTCCGAGTATTAACATTGTGCGTATGTTCTATTCTAGTAAACTTATCACTATTTTTATATACATACATAATATTTTGATAAATATATTGCGAGGGAAAGGTAAGTATATTAATTTCCTTGAATTTATCTCTCAGAGATTCCCTACATTTTAAATTATAGATTGCACGAATAGCCCTCTTCTGTATAAACGAATACCACATACTAAGCCAGCCAAAATACGCAAGTATCTTAAATGGATTTATTTCTAACTAAAAAGTGACCCAAATTTTTAATTAATAAAAATTGCATGCAATTATTATTGAGCGCCATTACTTTTACGGTTAACTGATAGCTAAGCATCAATATATGTTTTAAGTATCGAATACTAGTCTTTTCTATAATTTATTTTGAAATCCCTTATTTCTTTTCAAAAATGCAGTTTCTTTTGAGTAAAAATTGTGAGTTTAATTTCTGTAACGGTTTAAAAATTGCATGCAGTTTAAATACTGTGAAAGTTATTTTTAATATGACAAAACTCTACTCTTTTAGATGATCGGATCAAACGATTACGATGGCTTGGAGGTTCTGTACCCGTCCTCTAAAAAATCTAATAGCGATAGCGGTGGCGATCCCAATGTTTTTTTAATATAAAATATCGTTATAATTGCGTAAGTAGGATTAATAGGACTCGTACCGTGGGATCGCAAGGCACAAAAGCTCAACGGTGATGTCTGGATCTCTGTCTCCATTGGGAGCTGCAAAGGAACGATGATTACCACTGATCTATACCACTGATTAAAAATATCAACGCAATAGACGCAGAAATGTATCTGCCCCTTGCCCTTTCTTTGTCACAAATTTATCAACTCAATGTTAGAAATTAATCAAACCTATTTATAAAATAAAACTGAGTCTGAGAAATTCTTGATGTAAACGTTTCCTCTGGAAATCGATTTCACTTGATGTTTACGCTTGAAGCACGAGTATCGGAGATGAAGACGAATGAAAATAAATTTATGTTCGGCTATTTATAGTATGCTTTCATTCCAGTAAGTAATTGATATAATTGGCATGAATATTAGCATGATAGCGCGTAGGTTGTAAGTAACTTAGTGGGTGTTAACCTAAAAAACCTGCTAATGAAAAATGGAAAATAGCGCAACCTTCTGGGACCGGGACTCAGATTTTTGTATCTGTTTCGTGATCATTTGTTTTTTTAATAGGCAAGTAGGTGGTCACACACGCTGTCCACGGCACGAGTGAGTTAAATGCGCACAAAGATAGAAAGTCCATTGGAAGTCTAAGCACACATAGCAAGGACTATGTTTAAGAAAATGAAAATCGTTGTACAGTTCGATGATCTGATGTCTGTCCCATACTCATTACTCATATATAAAATAATTGAAACAAATAAATATCTGAAGGACAGTTATAGCAGTAAGCGGACCATTCGTTAGTGACGTGTCTATAACTTGAACATTCTCAGTACATTTCCCGGCGAAATAATTATTCCGACAGGTCGGGAGTGAAGCTCACCATTTATTTGTTTTAAAACAGATGCAAGACTGTTGTATACCACGTTTTAGGTCTTTACATAGATTTGTTTTTTTATATATTTTATTATAAAAAATAGATTTTTGTAAAACGTTTCCTATTCGGCTAGACTGCTACCATTATCGCAGTAATGGAATTTTGTGTCCTACTCATTCAAGAGCTAAGATTAAACAACGCCTATGAATTCTAAGCGCTCGTGCATGACTAAACTAAATAGGTATTATACCAATATTACGACAATACAAAGATTGTTACACCTTTTTTCTTAAAGTGGTTGTTTTTAAATGAAACTCGGCATGTAGATTTGAATAAATGCAGACAAACTTTATCTTTAATCAATTAATTATGTTCTTATCTAAGTAAAAACCCTGTGCAGTCATGCTCAAATTTACAAAAGTAACAATAGCGACGGTGACTAGTCATTGTCTGTATCGTACATTTTAGGAAAGTTTAGTGATTTTTTTGGCAAAAGACATTGTTACACATTACATATATAGCAGTTGTGTATAATGTATCCATTGGAATCCTCAAATTAGTTTACTTCAGTAAATTCTAAATGGTAATTCATATATTCAAGACGTTTCAAATTGGCAGATAGCGTAGGTGGGTAACTAGACCCAGGCAAGGTGAGGACGCTACGAAGTGAAGGACCCGTGATACTGGTGAGCGGGTGGAGCTGTTTGGGCGGGCGCGGGGTGCGACGCGGTGCGGGAGCGGAGGGGTGCGCAGGGCGGGCGGGTGGTGTAACAAGTGAAGCGGCCCGGGGAGCAACAGTCTGCCGTAGCCCGGCCACGCGGCCTCACACGCTACGATAGTTACTGCAGCTGGATCGTGCAACTCGCGTAAGTAAAACCTTATTACTTGTACCCGGCTCGCTGGGACCGAGATCGCCGCGCCCTCCCCGCTAACGCTGCGCGCGCCCATTTTAACGTGTACATCCTGTGATGGATGTCCGCTTTAGTACACCGATGTACCTGTTGCTTGTGTGTCGGGATAAGATAAGATCCTAATTAAATAATCTTAACTCGATTGACATGAAACTAACCAGGGAATTAAAAAGTCGCGACTGATACCGCTTTGCTTCTCGCTAAAGCTGTTTTCACGTTTTTGTAGACCATACGTGATATTTAAGCTAAAATAAATGTTTGATAGCCAATAATAAACAAAGAGTTGATGTTGCATATGACCAAGCGTTGGACGCACACATTGCAAATAAGTTCACTAGTCTTGATTTAGTTTTAACTAATACAGGCACACAATTTTTGTATTAACATTTTTTATGAATCTTGCTTATCCTGTTCAGTTGATCTTCTTGATCAAATATTATCGTTGTCCGACACATGCTTTGTACAACTATTTAAAACTTACTTTTATCACCGTACAAGCTGAATATAGACTCAGACTTATTAATTTTTTTATATATTTATTTCGTAATCCTACAATAATGCTAACGTATATTATATGTATTTAAAAAAAACCAATTATACTATTGTGCCAATGTGGTCATTATATTTCAATTTACAGTATACCTAAATCACTAACACAATCTACTTTTTTAACGGATTTGTTATTAATATGTATGATAATTAAAGTTTATTTTGTTTTTTTGATATTATATTTTGTCTTGTATACCTTATTTACTACCATTACAGCAATTTTAGAGTCTTCGCATAGCTGAATATACTGAAAGCTTCATTAATAATTCTCTGCACGAGTTTTAAGTAACATAGGGGCGTTACTTGAAACTCGTGGAGTAGAATTTATCATACGACTTCCGTTTTTTTCAAACCGTAACAGCGATTATTCAAAAGTTAACCCCATGACGGCCCATGGGAGTGAGACAGTGACAAATGGCGACAATTTTGCAAGCAATTGTTGGATATCGAAGAAGATTTTCAGTCTCACAGCGAGAGCTTACCGTAAACCTTTAAACCATTTGTAAGGCTCTTATGCTATTATCATTGGTTTATTTTGAAATATTTAATTTCGTTGCTTTAAAATAAATATTTCTAATTCCTTATTGCCAATATATAAAAGGAAAGGAATTCAAATAATCCTTTCTTTTTCAAGGTCACATTCCCAAACGAAATCTCAGTAGAGTCACGTTAGCCATATCAAATAAGGTTTCAATTATTTTCCTATTTATTTTACTACATCATTCCACAATTTTAGCATAAAGAAAAATATTTTACGCAAAAATTGTGGAATGATTTCTCCGAACAGCGTTAAAAATTTCATTATGAAGTCATTTTGTGTAGAAAGAATTTAATATAAGTCTGAACAGTACAGTGAACATCTCCAATGACCTCACTGTTTTATTACTTATGTAATTATGAATATTATAGTATTTTGAATACTAATAAAACAAGATCGTAGTTAATTATTATTATTCTAGTACCTACTGCCACATTAACGTACTGAATTCATACTGACTAATTTGAGCAAAATAAATATGTATTGTTTATTGTGCAATTAAAATATTGTTCGAATAGAAAAAACTAAAAATAAGTTTGAATAATGCTACGCTAAAGCGTAGCGTATTTCGTAGCAAAGTCGTAAAGTCAGTACCTCCAGGATGAATCATAATAGTTGTATGTTTGTTTGCTTAATGTGCTCTTATACTCAGTAATTTTATGTAACTTAATTAAAAATAGTACAGTGATATCACATACCCACAGACACGAAATAAGTCCTCTGCTACATAAACGAATTAGCTTTGTAACAGTACTAAGTCTGTTGTTTGCTTAAGGTATAATGTAAAATGTAATTATTTAAAGATTTCAAGTTTTACGATAGTTTCTGTTTATATACACATTTTTCGTTACGACGTTTCTCTAGCTACAGAGTTTGTAATAAATGGATCCACCTGGTTTCATTTGAACGTGAAACTCGGAAATTTTATAACTATACCAGCTTACGGGCGAATACGTTTATCAAGCTCAACTTGTTTTGAATTTCGTATAAGCTCTTTGAGAATGCCTGTGCAATGCGTCATATCGTTCAATAGCCTGAGTTTGCCTGTTTATTAATGAAGCTAAGATGTGAATTTTTCTGCATCTATTTAACTTTAATATGTTTCTTAAAATAAGCTTAGTTAGGTGGTGAACATGCGACAAATAATCTTGATTTTGAAATGTAATAAAATAATAGTGTAAAGATACCACGAATGACTATTGAATTAAATAGTTGATATTAGAATTGATTTAGTTTTATTATTTACTTAGAAAAGCTACGCGCATTACAATAATATCTTACATCTAGAAACGTAAATTAAAATCTAATGGCACACCTTTTGAGAGGAAAACACAGCCCATCATCCTAATATTATGGAAAATAATAATTATAAGCTATAAATTAATGTGCACATAAATGTATTGGTTCATTAAGTGCAGTCAAGGCGAAACTTGAAATAAAATTACTATTTGCAGTGTCGAGTGAACTTCCAGGGCTTACGTAAAACCGTTTTCTTGCAAGTCATAAAATTTCGTACAATTTTAAAACCTTCCAAATCAAGATATACGAGCGAAGATAAAAGATGACGCAAATAAACGTGACCAGGAAATACTGCAAATTATATAAATACTCCAACGATTTGAAAGATTCATCACAGTAATGGGGCGGCAATTTATCAATGTATCAACCCCGCTAAAAGTTGCCCATCAGTTTTTGATACCTATTTATTACAACAATAAAATGCGGTGCTTATCGGATGTCAATCTGTTTGCAATAATTTGTCAGGATCGGACATTTCATTGAACAAAGGCTTAAGTGTCATTAATATGAATGACTCGACTTTCGAAGGATGTTTTAATGTACATGTTTAGTATGGAACGGAGTTGACCTAGCCGCTAGGCGCGAGGACTCTACAGTCGTGCGTTCAAATCAAAACCATGGATTTTTTTAAATGTGAAATTAGAACTTGATCTTCCGGTATAAGAGAATATTGAAAGAATACTGTTATGTCTTAGACCGTGTCGGGCAGAGATCACTGACTTGGTTATTAAGAATGATTTAGTATTGTCTTTGATTAAAATAACCTTTACACATTTACAGAAAAAACTTTTTAACCGGATTAAAGTTGATTTGATCAAACACCTGGGATCCAATAATATCCAAATTAAAATCTCAAAAAGAAAAACAATCCGCGAAAACAGAGGACACCGTGAGGCATTTTTGCCAAAAAAGTCGATACCAACTCCGGGGAAATAAATACAGATAATGCAACTTTCTCTACAGCTGTGATACTTTTTGACATCCAACACCTTTTGTCTTCAGTCACCGTGACCACGCACGCTGTAAAGCACGCGAAACGTCGGATAAATTTAAAATTATGTTAAATAATTGTAAATTTATAATAATACATAACTTTAATCCGGTTAAAAAGTTTTTTCTTTAAAAGAATGATTTATCAATAATATAGATATAGAAATCCGAGGCCAAGGCCAGATAATGTAGGTTACCACCGGTTTTTATATCATTTTATTTTATACATTTTTTTCGCAAGCTACCCAAAAGTCGTAGGCTAAACTGGTTTTCTTTGATTTCGGTAAATTGTATCAAAGAGAAAGGAATGAAAATTCAAATAATATCGTAACCATGATCTCGGTTAATTGCAGTTTTCTTTTTTGCAGACTCGTTTATAATTTTGTTTGAAAAGCAATTTCATTTCGTTTTATTTGAAAATATATTCGATGGGCGTAACTAGAGTTTTCTTGATTGAAGTTGAAGTTTAATTTTCTGTTATATCCTAGACGATAAAACATATTCTTTCATAAGTTCTATAAGGCAATGCATAATTGTAAAAATCATCGTTAAGCTTGATAATAGTGGAAGTGAAGTGGAAACTGTAACAGATAATGTTCGTACTCTTAATTAGTGATGTTCAAAATACTTGCGACGATATAATAGTCTTGAATGTACCACAAGTACTACAAAACTTATTAATCATTAGTTAGTAAACAAAGCATATTTGTAACGACCCACTTCGGTTTCGAAATAGTATGTTAGCTCAGTTTCTATTAGACCAAAATTTGCCATATTTAAATACGACATTATTCAATTTACAATTTCTAATAACACGGCCTCCGTCGTGACAATTTGCTGCGTTTCTTGCCCGTGATTGCTGAGTTCTTGCCCGTTCTTGCTGCGTTTCTTGTCCGTTCTTGCTGAGTTTCTTGGCCGATCTTCTCAGAACAAAGCCCCCTGGTAGTTTTGCGAACGGATGGCGTAGTCTTGCTCTTTCGCGAATTTTGTCAACGTTTTTGACATTCATAAGCATGCGCTAAGACGCATCTAAACTGAATAAACGTATTTTGATTTTGATTTGAATTGCATTTGATTCGGAGATTCTGGTTTGGATATCTGTTTACAGTTACTTATAAATATTTCAACGTATAAATACTAAGAAAAAATACCAGTGAATGAATGAAACAGATACTATATTTTCCCTAACTATTTGGAGAAACGTTACGTTTTACCTAGATTTATGTAAATTATACATACATTAAGTATAAGAATAACAGAAGTAGAAAAGAAAGCAAAAATTATTGATGCACTATGCAATTGCAAAAAGTTAAGTGGAAATGGGCGGGCCACACCGCTCGCATGAACAATGATATAGAGTCTGGTTAATGAAAGAAGATAACGAAAAAGCGCGGCAAATTCAAAAAAATTAATGTTTAACCCTAAAAGTTTGATTTATTTTGTGGATTAAACTTACTTAATTTTATTTTATTATTTTTTACATTGATAGTAACGTATATTATAGTCTTTTACTATTGATACTTAAAATGACTAGCATTGCATGGAAAACTAAAACTATATTTATTTTAAAAATACAACTTAATTCGGAATAATAAAAATCTTGAAAAGTATTGAAAATTTTACCAGTGATCGAAGCGATTTCTTTAAAGTACTGGTTTTGG